TGATAATTAGTATCTATATTTTTTTTTCAAGAGCTCATAACAGTGTTCTTTAAAACTGTATGATATTCAATAAGCACATAAACTGGTATCTAAATTTTATGAAATACATCTGGAGCGGGACCCCAGAACGGATTGTGTAAGTGACAGTTGAAATAGATTTTGATTCACAATTGACTTAAAAGTACTTGGACACAGATTTGAAGTTATTATTTTGTCTATAATATTGCGACTTATATATTTTAATAGCATTTCGCACAAAAATTAATTAAAAATCTTATTTCATTTAAAAGATATTGAAATTTCAAATTTTTCGGCGGGTTTGATTGACATATCCTTGCACTCTCACAAATTTGATTTTATTCTTAATCCTTAGGAAAAGTGGCAATCTCGTTTTGTATAAATGAAAAATATTAATACTATAATCTAGAAAATTCAGAGTAGATACGTTCGAAAGCAAAACAAACACACAATATATTGTCAGTCCTTGCAGTTGTGGTAAGCAGACTGTGACGATTGAACGCACCCGGTGAATTATAAATATAAACAATAACAGAACTCGAGCCATGTTTACAAAAACTGTGTACATAATACGAGTGTGCTCGATTTGCTAAACTTTGAACGCATGTCTTGGTTCGGAATGACGATACTTATGAAGATGTTTAGCTTTCTAACATTTCTTCGCTGAATAAAAATTATTTTTCGTGATAAAAGTTTTAATATTTCTCATTAAAACACATCAAAATTGCCACTTTTCCTAAGGATTAAGAATAAAGTTAAAATTTCTGAAAGTGCCAGGATGTGTCAATCAAACCCGCCAAAAAATTTAAGGTTTAAATAACTTTTAAATGAAATAAGAATTTTAATTAATTTTGTGTGAAATGCTATTAAAATATATAATTCGTGATATTATACAGAAAAAATGAGAAAATTTTAACTTCAAATCTGTGTCCAAGTACCTTTAAGGTTTCGTCCAAGATCAACATGTCTAAAAAATTATTTTTACAATAGTTCCCAAACTATGTGTGGTATAAAGTCAAAACGTTTACAGTTTATAAATATATCATTGATTTATTAATAGAAAGTATCACTTGATGACAATTATTTTTAAAAAGATATTTTTAGAAAAATTATATCAGAAAATGTGCATATATATTTAATGAAAAATGCACCTGTTTAATTCTATCCTTTTTGTGACAACCATCATTGAAAAAATAATTATATGTTTATCATTGAAGGACAAGTTGGACGTGAATAGTCTTTGAAAGGCTGTTATTGAAAGCATGACATGTATAAAGACAAGGCCCCTGTAGAATCCGCCATTTGCACTGTACTTTCACTTTCAAGTCTTAACATTTGGACAAATTATCGAGGGAAAACAACTTTCCAGAGGCTATCCAAGACCAACTTGCCCTTCATTGATAAATATATTTTGTTTCTACAATAAAGGTTTTCACTAGTATCATATAATTAATTAGGTGTATTTTTATAAAAAACATGCATTTTTAAGAATAATTTTTCTCAATTAATTTTTTTTCAAGTATTTTTTACATCAAACGATACTTTCTATCTGTTAATCAATGAAAAATTGATAACCTGTAAAAGTTTTAACTTTACACCTCACATAGATTTGGAGCTATGGTAAATATAAGTTTTTAGAAATGTTGACCTTTGACGAAACCTTAAATTGAATACAGTCACGCAGGTAGGTTAAGGTCACAACCAAATATTGTACTTGCCTATATGATATGATGCCATAGTCACTGTTTGAAAAAACACCTTTACAAAACTTTACTTGCAAAGTAAATTTCATTAAAGGTGCTCCAAAAAGCAAGGTCATCTTTGTATTAACTTTACAAAAAGTAAAGGTGTAAAGGTAACCTTTACTTACACGAAAATATAATTAAATATAACCTTTCACCTTTAATGTCATATTAAAGTTCATTAAATATACATATTTTATTAAAGCCTTATTTAAATGCTGATTATTGTTTAATACACACTACTTTGGATTTTCATTGTTAGTTTAAAGAATCGATCTAGTCGATACCCAGATTTTTCAGAGAAATGTCAAAGATATTTTTTAATTATCTCGTTTCACTTCCAGTTGAAATTAGTATTAGAAATGGTCATCTACAGAATCAAACAAATTTAAATGTTTTTCAACTTGAAATAATGCTGAGGGACAATCAAAAATGTAAATCAGAATACAGGTACAACAAAACTTAAATTCCTAATGATTTGTAAAACTTTTGTTATCTGATTTGCTTACGTCAGATAGAGGGAGAACTCATTTCTAATTGCTTTTGATAAAGAAATACTGTAAGCTTTTCTGTTTTAACTTCTTTTTTATAAATGTTGACCATAAACTGTTACAAACAATACAAGATCACATGTACTAAAACAGGCAAGAAAAAGACAAAGATTGAAAATTACAAAGTTTGATTATTTTTTTATTCAGATTTTACATAAACATTCAAGGGCAAGTTTCCTCAGAGACCCTCTTAGTATATTCTCGACTCATCATTATTTGACAGACTACACCTCAAATAAAACAACACCTATGCTGTAAGCCAGGTTAGCTTAGTTGGAGCAGATGGCATTTTTTTTTATAACAATACATAAATATTGAGTAAACATTACATTGAATGTGAAACAATAAAGCACTGCAATGTATTTGTAAAATATTTTAAATGTAATAAATTATACCCCTATCACAGACATTAAAAACCGCCCAGGAAAAAACCATAGATGGTTAACTATGGAAAACTTGTGTCCGTCGCTATGTAAATAATGTCTCAAGGGAGAATGCCGGACGTACATTCGATGCAGTACTTAAAAATGCATGAACACTCTATAATATTTGCATGTATAAAAAAATCGAAATTAAAATACATTTCAACAGTTTTGTTATTTCCATTTCCAGTATATTTATACAAATATGATATATATTATATATATAAAGCAAAAAAAACCATGTGCTTTATTGAAGAGCACTGGCTTAGAATGATTCTAACACGTTACTGAATACTCCTTTCTCATTGGCCTTCCTTTTGCCACGCCCACATATACTGGCAAAACCATTAATATGTGTTCCTACCATAGAATGTGCTCCCACTATACTACGAAGCGCGGAAAAAAAAACTATTATGCGCACCAGGATTGCCTACAACTCTCTGGATTGGATGGCATAGATCTTTTATATGTAAATTGATATTAATAATGATACAGTAATTAATAATATAACAATGGGAAAAAAATAGCATATTGACAATTCTCATTTTCCAAACAAAAACGATCTTAAAAAATTCTGTATTATGGCTTCTCATCATATGATGAGTCAGAAATCATACAGCACAAATATCCAGTTATAACCTTGAATATAAACATTATATTGAGCTATCTTTGACTTTTGTTTTCTTTCAAATATTCAAATACATGTAAGGCAAAATTAAGAAAAAAATATAGATGATAGGTATATAAATTTCACATTTCTGCTTATGAAATGGAGGTCCCATTTCACTTTAAAATATAATATCAGTACAATAATATTTATTCGTTATGGTGCATGTACATATACAAAAAAACTTTGCAGTTTAAATTGAATTGAAAATGTGGGGAAAAAAGTACATAAAAGGCTATCTGATGTGCGCTTATCTACAGGCTAATAACATCTTGACATCTTCAACTTGTAATGCAAAATGATGCAATTTACATATTCACAAACACAAAAATGCTGAAAAATCTATTAGAATATATTTGAAGATGCAGTTTGCAAAATGTATGAGAACATGTATGAGTCCAGCTTCACTCAGTGAGTCTGTCTGAGCTTGACTTAGTTTAGATTTTTATGTCTGTGGCAGATGCATGTATATTTGCATATGTGTCCGGCTTCACACATTCACATGTATGTGCTCGACTTCACACACCTTGGAAAATATGTAATAGGTTGTGGCAGATGCATGTGTTTTTGTGTATGTGTCCAGCTTCACACATTTTCATGTATGTGCTCGACTTCACACACCTTGGAAAATATGTAATAGGTTGTGCAGATGCATGTGTATTTACATATGTGTCCGCTTCACATATTTTCATGTTTGTGCTCGACGTACACGTCATCAATGGAAAATATGTAACTATGGTGGTGTAAAACATTTACAAGTGTATGATGCACAGAGAGAAAAAAGTTCTGTGTGTTTTGTTCTGCAAAAGTGATCGTAAAAATCTACTATGTCTCTTGAGAAATTGACAATCATAATAAGTGACATATTCATTTTACATAACTGTACTGAAAATTACACATCCAGTTTAAATTACTGTACTGAAAATTAAATTTGCGCAAAAACTCTCTGGCTGAATAACATTCAAAATCATGAATGCTTGCATGTTCATCTATAAATCTCCAAGATATTTCCTAGTTAGTTTGTAGCACAGCACCCAGCGGTCTTACAGCACATTTCATAATGTCAGTTTGCATGAATAAATTAATTTATCCTTGTTCCTCATATCTTGAAAATAGATGCCGAAATTCTAGTCTACAGTTTATTTACACGGCACATTACAAATAGAAACATTCAGGAAAAATAATTCACAAAAAATAAAATCCAAGTAAAACAATCACATGTACATATAAATCCAAAAAATATTAGGTAATAGTCCAAGTAAGTGAGTAACTTTATCTATCTCTAACAGTTCTATCTACTAAGTCTTCTATATTTCCATTTTCCTATCTTATTCTAAAATTCTGTTGCACTATACATGTTTATATATATATATATATATACTCAAGATCCGCTCCTGACGATCAGAAGCACATTACAAGATCCTTAAGATCAGGAGTCAATACACAGGTCATAACAATCAGCAGGGGGTTAGATAAGAGGGGGCGCTTATTATACAGATAAGATTTATAGCATAAGTGTAGATGATAATGTGTGAACAATTACGTAATGAAGAGTGATTTACAGCATAAGATTTTCTAAATCCTTACAAGTTTACAAATTCTTGATCATATCATTGATAAGTGTATATATTCTTGATCATGACATCTGCATTGGATTCCCCTCTCTGACATCTTTTCTTGTTCACCAATTAGTTCAACAGTCATCTAGGTACTCAGGTGTTGTACAAGTCCTAATAATGATAATTTTCAAAATTATAAAGAAAAACAATACAATTTCTAAAGAGGATTTCATTACTTCTATTGAAATTAAAGCACAATTTAGACAATGCGACTCAATGTCAAACATATGATAGTGATACATCTGTAATATCCATGAAACTTAATGAGATACTTAAAATGTTTGTGACGTGCTTTCACTAAGCTATACAATATATAAACATTTCTTGATTACACGTTGAAGTCCGAGGCTTAAAAAAATAAGCTCGTTTCCTGTAACATTCCCAAAAAATCAAGGGTCGGTAGGTCAGAATTTTTTTTTTTTTGCTTATGAATGGTGAAACATCCCAAGACTGAAAATAGCAGGTGTTATATTTACAGTGGACACCCGACATGGCATCCAAAATGGCTGCCTAGCAGCAGAAAACAAACTTCAGAAAGTTGTAGGGGGAAACAGTTGTTACACTAATGATTACTCTTTATATTTATGGTAAATGTAAACTAGGTTGACATATTTTATGTCTCAAATTAAGCTACAAGCTATTGTTTTAATTTCATTAATGGAATCAGCTGATTGATCAAACAAAGTTTTGCCATTTGTCAGGAAAAAATCCACCCAGGGATAATTTGAATGGGTTGGTCAGGTTACAGGAAACAAAAATATTTTTTTTTTAGGCCCAATCCTCACCTGACTTGCACATTCATATGGATTGGTTCTATGTTGATAATCCCTTTCAACAATCTTCATCACAACATCTGAAAGTCACCCATCTTCAAAATTAAATCTGCCGCTCACCTCAAATGTATATAGACTCCCTGTACAAATGCATGGAAAATAAAATTTTGAATAAAAAATGAATCTCTTCACAATACCCTGCCTCTTTAAACACATGTTAAAAAATGTGAGAAAATAATTTAAATACTTTTCTGCAGATAAAGTCATGTAGTGAGTATCCAGCAATGTTGAAAAAAAAAATTATCTCTAGAATTTTACATTTATATTGAATGAAAAATGCTTTGTCCCCTCTGCTTAAAAAACTCAAAAGACATTACCTAAAATGGAAATAGGGTACACCTGTGACTGATCAATGTCTCGGGCACAACCAATAAACACAAGACCTTTCCATCCTTAGCAGCATGCATAAGCTCCCAATTCCTTGTTTCTACAAAAAATATACAATGAAAATCTTTTTTTTTTAATATATTCGATCAATGCATACTATTAGTGCAAGATATATTACTGTCTTCAGCGGCGACTCACACAAATCGTTCCGACGAAAATAGTTCCATCATTAATAAGTAGAATACAACATAATTGTTCATGATAAGAGTAATGTTGTGTATGTCATACGTAAAAGAAACCAAAATTAATGTTAATTTTTCCTCCAAAGATCAAAGATGTAAAAAATGTTAATATTCCTACGCTTGCTCCCTCCTCAGCTTTTTTTTAACGTTTGATAACAGAGTATATATAGGTCATTCTTCCGTTGATATTTTTTCCCTTATGAATTGATTATACTAATATCAACAACTGTAGTAAAATCATGTTAATTGTTCGTTAATTATCATATATTTCAATCTAAGAGAGAAAAAAATCATTCTGTGTGTGTAGTATATTAAATGACGGAATTTTCAATCCCTGAGCAGATTCCTGCATGCACATGTGTAGACAAACTACACATCGGGAGAGTACCTGTAAAATGTGTAACAAAACCTGAACTGGCCTGGGATTTCTAAACTGACTGTCGTCTAATTTTTATGAATCAAAATTTGTATTCATGTGATCTAATTATGAAAAAAGTTCTGTCTGTCATCGTAACTTCTCTGTTTGCGGGAGTCCGTTTGACAACTCCATCGCACGTGTGTATAGCTGGCTAATTGGTCTTGCGGACATGGGTATGTGTACTGTTTGTTAGCATGGTTAGGAGATTGGGTGACCGTAATGCTACGGACTCACGAAATTTACACAAGTTCAATAACTGGACAGTGCAGCTTTATTTTTATAAATGTCATTAAACACTGTTAAACATATTAAATTTAAAAGTCGAATATCTTTGGATATGGGGTAACCCATATCTATTCTTGTTTAAAATGAGAGCGAAGAGTGTTACTTGGAGGAACAGAGGTAGGAATTATGAAATCAGATTTATTATATTTCTGCCAGTGTTGGACAGATAAATTTCCATAATAAAATGAAACGAATTATTCGCAACAAATAAGATACTTGTATTACCTTGCAGTCACAGTTGCACATGATGTATACAGCTGACAACATCCAAAATCCCTTTCTTTGTTGTTTTCTTGGCGGAAATTTCTTGCATTTTAGACTGGTTCCCATCACTCGGAGTTCCTCGGGACTCATACCTCGCGTGGAGGAGTCAGCCGAGGATTGCCGATTGCCCTGAATAATTATTGGTTTTGTTTACAAGCCTCGACATCAATAAAATCTCCCGCATATTTACAGCCTTTATTGTAAACTACTATAAACATATCTTACATACAATTTTCACCTCAGTATTATGTTATCCTCTTCATTCAAGTAATATGTAAACTCTTCTCGAATGTAAAATGAACGATCAACTTTGAAGAGTAACCCAAATATGGCTCTGTGTATTCGGTTGAATAGCCAATCATTTCAAATCAATTTGAGCGGGTCTGCATCGTTATGTTGACGAAGTGTGCGACCAGTAGTAATTTTTTGAAACCTCATCTAGATTTAAGAATATTCTTGGCTTGACAACTGCTCGAACTCCCGGGTTGGCATGCACTACAGGTTTGTTTACGATTTCCAGCCGTTTTCACTTTCAGTATAGATCAGTACTGTACATTGTCAGATTGTGCATGTGAAACAATGAAAGTCAGGCAAAACTACGCTGTATAAATCATTTACTGCCAGAATATTAGATTAGTACTTATGATGATTTGGGGGTTAAATGTTAATGTGTTTCAGTTTATTCTGTAAAGGTGTATGAATATTAAACAAGACAAAGAAAAACAATTCTGGAGTGGGACTAAAATGAGTAGTGAAAACCGAGCCGGTCCTGGAATTTGAAACTGAAAACCGGGTTTTTGCTAATTATTGAGAATTTACACAAACAATTGTCATAAAACTCAGTTACAGATGTAATTATGCCTTGGCTAAGAGTTTCAACTCCAAAATTGACAAATAAGTTTGTTTTATATATATCATTGTGTATTTTAAACTGTGTCCATTTTGTTCAAATACAGGTATAGTGAATTTGCATGTAGATTGTTAAAGGGAAAACATCAAGACGGGGCAAGGAAGATGACAAAACATGATTACCCAGATTAAGGATCCCGATGTTCTTTGGTACAAAAACATTTTTTTAAAAAATCAAATAATAAGTATCATGAAATGTTACTTGAACAAACATTTACATTATTAAGCATGTGAGTAAGCTTGACTTGCTCCGGAGTCAGTATCGTCATATATTTGTAAAAAAATGTTCAATTTCCTTTGAATAGGCTCAAGCTACTCAGCCTACCATGAGAAAATAAAAAGATCTGTCGTGAAGAAGAGGCGGGTTATCAACTTTCATATTAAAGATGGCAAGTATTGTTTATATCTAATTTTAAAGTATTCATGATTAAAAAAAAAAACATAAGGGCAGGGTTCCACACTAACATTTTCATGCTTTGGTCCGGCCGGACTAGTGCTTTCTTACCTTTACTAGTCTGCAGCCGATTTGATGAGTCGGTAAAAAAAAATATCAATAATAAATAGAATAAACATTTCAATGTACTTTTTTCATTTATTTGAACTAAACAAAGCATTTGCATGAAATGTATTATATCAAGATTTGTTGAAATCGTGCAATCAGGAACTGATCTCATTCGTTTTTCTATATACATGATTACATCGTTCAAACATCCAACATTTTTGTTTATGTGTCATACTAAATCATGATTGCTAAAATGTTTTATTTCATACCAATGATTCCTAAAATTAAGCACCGAATTGACTCAGAATTACCTCACTTCCTGCTAAGAAGCTAGAAAGCTAAAAACACATACGGGGTTTTCCAGTGAAAGTTGTCGATAATTGAACAGCGGTAAATTCTTTTTTTTTCCAGAAAACTTTATTATTCCCTTCCGACTAATCAGCCACAAATCTTTTAAGTCCGAATGAAAATGTTTTAGTCTGAGACTAATAGAAGGTGTTTCGCAATTCATATCTATTATTTGTGATTGCATTGTGTATTAATTTTCAAAATCAATTCATTCTTTGGTGACCGTGTGCTTCAAACTCAAATTTTTTTAAATATAAATATGAACTATATTTGTCCAGATGTATAAAATGTAAATCACAGTATGAATTCTATTTCAGCATGATTGTCATCTTCAATTTGAGGGACTCTCACCTCAAGTCCTTTTACTGTTCCATATCAGGAAAAAGATCATGAGCAGAAACACGCTATTGGGGAAAAAGGTACATACATGTATATCTCTTTACAACTTACTGGATTGTTATGCAACATACACTAAATGTTCTGATCATGTCATAGAAATTTTAATATTTCCCCGCAAGCACCTTTTAGCATGCTACACGCTTCTCTAAAATTTAGCATAGATAATATTATGACACTATATTTTAATGCAAAAATGACTTTTCTTCTTTGATGAGATGTTTGCAAGTATAAATAGAAGGAAATTGGCATTAAATTAACGACAAAATGAACTTTTTTAAAGTGCATGAAAATGCGTGATTGCGAGGGGGAATATCCTAAACCATAACTTGAGTATCATTCTGTTTACATGTACAGCTAAGCTAAATATGTAGCACTATATTGTTCTTTTTGTAAACTGACTATTGAGTAGTCAGGAAAACCTATGATTTCTCTTTATTTTAAGGATTTATTCTTTGGTTTTGTTTAGTACCCTTAAAAAATACATAATTCTCAAATTGTAATTTTAGGCTTTTTGTGATAAGGAATACAAAGTCTAATTAAAATTAGATGTTAGATCCGCTCGCGTACTCGCTACACTAATGTGTAACGAGTATTTGAGCGGATCTAAATTCTAATTTTAATTATATTGAGGGATACATGATTTAACGGTTAACCCACTGATTCTGCATATAATATGTCAATAAAAAGAGGTCCACTCTTATTGAATTAATAAATTTACATTTTTTTCTTTTTGAGGTGAAAGGTTATGTATTCGTGAACTTTTTATGTATTAATTAAGTTGTGCCTTGTTTTCATTTTTATTAATCATGGTATTGAGAATTCTGATAACACAGATGCCATTGAAAATATTCATACTAATGCATGGCACTGAAAATATACTTATAGTTTTTTTTTTCTTTTAGGAAAAGCATTAGATGAATGCCTACATGGGAAGAAAAGTTTTGGACTCTAAAAAGGGAGATGTGACAAAAACATTTTGACAGTTATTGATTTCCACTGAAACCAATATCCAAGAAAGAGGAACACAGTTTTTTGTTGATTCACAACTTTAAATTCAAGAATGTACAGGTGGTTTTATTATAAAACATTTCACATATGAAAAACATTTTCTTGAAATGTACTCTGTCTTGGATACTTATTCATGTGTATGTAATTTGCAGGATAAGATGTGGGCAACATATACTCTCAAGAATCTTGATGTTTTTGATCTTATGTTTGTAAAAAAAAAAAATTTAATAAACAAAGTTCAAGTCAACTTTTTGTTACTTTGTATATATATTAATTAATTATGATGTCCAGACTTCCGCAGTATCAACTTGGAAGAAAAAAATTAATAAATTGCATAAGGCTTTATTCACTAGAATGGAACATAGAAACTATTAACTTTCGTGGTAATTAAAGATGGTATTTAATTAAATTTAAGATCTGTAATTATCAGATTTAATATATCCTAAATTGTATGGTGTTTAATGGTTGTAAATATTAACTTTACTTTTTTGTAAAGTCAAGACAATGTTGGACATTACATCATATTTAAGTGCATGTAAAGTTAATGTAAAGGTTACCTTTTCCAACTTTGACTTTTTTCAGAAAAGCCAATTAAAGGCATTGTAAATAATAAATTTACATTATCTTTACTTGTTTTGTAAAGCCAAATTTTCATGCAGTGAGTAAGCCATATGACGTGAAGTTTAGACATAACAATTCTTTTTTTATAATCGATATCTAAGATTGAATTGTGGTCGTACAGAGTAATCAAAATATGCAGAAGCATTATAAAATCGGAATTTTGTCGCTTCCGGGTCTCTGCAGTTAGCACATGGGTTAAATTCCAAACCTGCGACGTCATATCTTTTGATCAAGCAGTAGCAAAGTGAAAGTGAAAAGTAAAGAGAATTCATGTAAACAAACACAAGCAATTAAAGTTTAAAAGCATTTAGAATGAACAAAGTATGTTATTCATGTCGGGAATAAAGCTTATGAATAAGGTATGGTAATATAATTCTATGAGTTCTTCGTAAAAGTAAAGCAGAGATTGTGTTTACATGCCGATCAGCCTTTCCTATGTCGTTCGTAACAAATAAGATGCAAAAGTTCAACACTACGCAACACACTTTGAAACTTAATTTTTGTTTCTATCAAAAGTTCTTATTCTATTGTTTTTGGAAAGTGCTGCCAGAATCGTAGGGTTTACGGGAATTAATGCATTTTTTATGTTATGAACAAAATGTAAATATTTTGGGAAGGTTTCGTCCGAAAGTGTTGAATGGTTTTTTCTGTGATAGGACAGTAGGATTCTAGCAGCACTTTTCATGGTACAGAGTGTTTACATAACAATCATTACAAACTGAAATTAAGTATCCCCGGTGTAGTGTTATACTTTTCACTTTTTCATTAAGGCATATTTTCTAATTATAGACCACACGTGGTGACGTCGTGGTGAAGTTCTTCATGTAGTATAAGTCCCATTTAAGTCCATAGATTGCATAATTATAGCAAAAGTTTTATCCTTGACTTTTCCGATTTATTTGTGTTACATAATTACAAAAAAAGTGTTAATTCGCCGAATTCTTGTCCATTTGTTGCTTTCACATACTTGCGCACTTTAGGTTTATGAAAACAAGAATTGCAACTTGTTAAATGAAAAATAATTTTCCATAATGATTTCAAATTAATTTTTGTCTTTGTCTTATACTATATGTAGATGTCAGGATATTTCTTTTTACATGTAGTGCATTTATGAACTACCCTGATAGGTTTTTCGCATGCAATACTGTATATGCTAGTGGCGTATGAATAGCTGGCCACTCTAAGATTTCGTTACATCTTTAATGAAGCTAAAAGCAGTCGATACATGCTTTCCTTGGAATATTCTAATTACGTGTATTTATTAAAACAGCTTTGTTGCATGACTTCTCCTTAAGTTTGAAATCATCAACAATACACAATCACCAAAAATTTCTTTCGCCGTCAAAGAACGAGTTCACTTAATGGCTCTGGTAAAAAAGACTTTAATTTTTTTTTCTATAATAATTTTATTAAAATTCAAATAATTAAACATTTGTTTGTATACAATATTCGTAAGATAAAAAAATGTAAGTTTTTACTGAACGGTATTATGAGCAATGGGTGAAAACTGATTAAAATACATATTTCTGGTGCTAACAGCTCCAGATTAAGAACTTCTCTATAGAATACTAGAATTTTTAATTTCAGGGAAAGCAGTTCACATAATACAAGTATGTTCTATCATAATAAAATGATTCCTGAATGCATGACGAGTTTCTGCCTTTGGCACCGTTTTAAAAGATTGAATAATTGATTATTGATTCCATAAAGAAAATATATTGTTTTATACATGTAATTATTTTGCTAAACAATTATATGCATTAAACCTACCGGTATTTAAAATATCAAAAAGATTTTTTTTTCTAAATTATGAACTGCAATTAATATATTTTTTGGCAAAAAAATAATGACGTCATAGGAGACTGGAACTGTCATCAGATAATTTTTAAATTTCTTTTGATTATTTTTTTACTTTTACCAATCATAATCAAATGATTACTACAAATATAAATGAAAGAAAGGATCACTTCATTCTAAATAGGGATCTGACCTATAGGACCGGGCTTGGTTTTTTTTCTCTACAAAAAGCTTGTCGATTTCCGTTCCGGATAATTACATTAGGCTAAATACGTATAAAAATTTGTTTTTCCTAAAATTTTATTTCTGTTAGTAAAGGTAGGAGGAACCCTTTCATTCATTGTCTGAGTTTGTTATCTCCATATGTACAGTACCGACCGGACACAACCTAACACCAGAGCGAACCCGGAGCGGACCCCGGGTTCGCTTCCCGGGTTCGCTCGGGGTCCGCTTGGGGTTCGCTTTCAGAAATTTTGGGACCGCTCCGGGTGCGCTTTGGGTGCACTCCGGGTTCACTCGGGGTCAGCTCTGGGTCCGCTATAGCGAACCCGGCGTTCGCTTCCTGGGACCGCTTTACGCACTGATGCGTGAAGCGGACCCCACTTTAATCTCACCGCCAGTAAGCCCCGCCCCTTGTATATTCCAATACAGTAATGGTATTGTTGATCGATCATTGTTGTTTATGCAACGATGTGGACATGCACACTGAACATG